CACACTGGGATGTAAACTCCATGCGGAGAGTGGGACTCTGTTTTTTCACCATTACATACCCAGTACCTAGACCAGTGGTTCTCACACCTGAAGGTGCATTGGAATCACCTGGAGGGTTTGTTAAAACACAGATTGCTGGCCCCGCCCTCAGAGTCTCTAATTCAGTAGGTCTGGGGTCGGCCTACCGAATTAGAATTTGCCTTTTTCACACATTTCCAGCTGTTGCTGATGCTGATGCTGATGCCGCTGGCCAGGGAATGCACTTTGGGAACCACCAGTTCCTATGATGCCTGAATACACAGCAGGTGTTGTGCATATATTTATTACATGAATGCACGAGTCAGCACATAAGGATCTGCCATCTTCTTCATAATAGTTTATTTTCAGTTTACCAGTTATTTATAGTTATTGGACTGTAAGCCCCCTCAAAGTCTGTATGAGAGGAGGGCCCCGATTTTGCCACCTAAAATGATTTGTCAGCTGATGATTAAAAACCTAAACTTCATAGGCCCAAGGGAAGCCAGTGATAGTCACTCCTTATTCTCTGCCTTGGCAGAACAAACCAAAACGTGGTCAGGCTCTAACTTGACACATGACAAAATTTTCCCCCAGGGGCAATCGCTCAGGCCTCTCCTGTAATGGTTGGACAACTATCCTGTTGGTTCAGATTGGAATGTACACAACTGGTGTACCTGGATCCCAGGCAGGTTATGAAACGTAGAAAGCCCAGTGGCTTTTCTGAGTCACAAAAACCCTGAAAATCCGACAAGATCTATAACCCTATTCCTGGGGAAAACAAATGTGTATACACACTTTTTTACATTTAATTTCAGGAAGTTACAAGAGGCCCCAAGCCCATTTTAACCCTAGGTTGAGAACTCCTGGTTTAAAGTGTGACTAACCAACTAACCAAAAAACCAATCTGGATCCCCAGTTTATTATTTAAAATCTTGATGAATCAGAGGTTTAAATGTAAAAAGATAAACCCTAGAGGAAAACATTACAGGAAAGCATTATAGGGAAAACATTAGTTAATACGTTTTATAATTTTAGAATGGGGAACACTTTTGAAGCATGATAGAAAACCCAGAAGTAAAAATAGAATAGTAAGATTGATTTCATAAAATTTAAAATGATCTGTACAGGAAAGAGGGGAAAAAATCCTCCTGGTTTAGACTCTGGGGAGAAATCGATGGACTGTCATTTCCATTTATATTCTTTCCACTGGAGTTGTGTGAGTGGGACAAGCTCCATGGGACAAGCTCCATGGGACAAAACACAACCTTATCAGAGCAGACAGGGTGAGACCACATCCTTCAGCCAAGCCCTGTCACTGGGTTAATTATTTCACTAGGTGTGGGTTGGGTTTTTAAATTTTATTGAGATATGATTCACACATACCACACAGTTCACCCATTTAAAGTATACAATTAAGTGGTTTTGTTATGTTCCCAAAGTTGTGCAACCACCACTATAATTTAAGACTATTTTTTGTCACCCCCAAAAGAAACCCCATATCCATTAGCAATCACTGTCCATTCACCACTCCTGCCAGGCCTAGGAAATCACTAATCTACTTCCTGTCTCTGTAGATTTTCCTGTTCTGGCCATTTCATATAAATGGAACCATACAATATGGTCTTTTTTTCTTTAACATAATGTCTTCAAGGTTCATCCATGTTGTAGCATGTATCAAATTTTCTTTCCATTTTATTGTTGAATATTTCATTGTATGGGTACACTACATTTTATTTATCCATTCATCAGCTCATGGACATCTGTGTTATTTCCTCCGTTTGGCTATTATGATTAATGCTGCTATGAATGTTCATGCACAGGTTTTTGTGTTAACATATGTTTTTATTTCTCTTGGGCCTAGCACTAGTTTCTGTCTTAAAGGTTTACCCAAAGTGTTCTACTTTGCATATAGATATAGATATAGATATTTACATGCCACCCACCCCCATCATAACCTCTTAGAGAAGCAATGAGCTCTTTCATCCCCCATGTGGAACCTTCTGTGTAATCTTGGGACACGACACAATCCCATTGTGCCTCGGTTGTGCCATCAACAGAAGGAAGGTGACAGCACCAGCTCTTTGACTCTCTCACAGGATATTGTGAGGATAAATGAAATGACATAAATCAAATAGGATCTGCTCTTTCTAGGACACTAACCCATGTGACTAGGCTAGTGCACACCAAAGAAACAAGATACACTTGGACTAGGGGTTTGCCAGCATACAAGTGACCATGTTAGCCAAGAGGCCGGTGGCTCGAAGGGGGGGCATAGATGGTGTAAAAACTACTTGCCATTTTTTCAAGATTTTGATTTCCTTTGAGATCAGAATTTGGTTGCCTTCCAAATCCTGCCAGCCACCCTCTGAGGGAAGGTGCCAAACTAGGTCACCCTAGTCAGGGGCAGAGGAAAGGGCAGGGCCATGTCCAGTGACTGGCAGCCATGAGGGCAAGCTTGAATTCTAAAGCCCACTCTCCAGCTAACATTTCCCCAAAGACCACCCTACCCTCATTTAATTAAAAAGCATACCACTGTCTACAGACCCTGACCTTCATGTCTTCTCTGGGGCAGGGTTTGACCCCTCATCCCTGGGTAGAATCTAGTAAGGACCTTTTATAGAGGTGCTGGGAGCCCAGGTGACAGAAGAAGGGTCTAAAATACCTGAGCTTCCTCATGTTCTCTAATCACCCATTGCCCCTTGCTCTTTAAAATCAAGCAGCAGGAAATTCCACTGATAAGCATGTAAATTATGAGTGGAATAGGAAATAAAATGGTAGGCATGCCTGGGTTCTAATCCCAAAATCACAACTTAATAGCTACATCTAGGACAAGTGCCTTAATTATGAGACTCAGTTTCCCCTCTCTTAAATGGGATACTAGCAGTACATGCCTCATAGGGTCCTTGTGAGGATTGTTTGAGATGATGCCTGTAGGGGCTCCGGTGTACATTCTAAGCTCAATCAATGTTTGCTGTAGTTTCTATGTTACTTTTAAAGTCAGAATTAAGGATTCCAAATAATGTAGCCATCCTCCCTAAGCTACTTAGGGAGACTGGTTTTCTATTGGTCAATTAATTGGATTTACTTTATTAGGCAGCTACTATGTGTTAGATACCACAGAGAGGGCTGGGGACAGAACTGAATTTTCTCCCAGGAATGTAAAATTCAAGTTGGGAGAAAAACTAAGATACATGAAATTCTTAAAGAACATCCTGACAGTCATGAGAGGGGAGACAGCAGAAAAGCCCGAAAGGGCTAGACAAGGTGTCACAGGAGAGGCAGCAGCCGGGCTGGCCCTTGCAAGCCAAGATGAGTTCACAGCAGCAGAGGAGAGGGAGACAGAACTGGGCAAGGGCATGTGAGGGGAAGGGGAGACCCACGTGCACACGGGCAACGTGGGGACCTAGGCAGGTCTGAGTGCGGTGGGTGGTCTGTGAGCTGAGCCAGAGACAAAAAGCCTTCTGGTATCTTTCCCACTATCAAGGGTCTCTAAAAATGGCATGTCATGGGGTCTTTTAGTCACCTGTTCCACTAATAATTATCCTTCTATGAGAACTTCCGTCACTAATACAGTTTTGTGGAATGTAAGAGCGAGGAATGAGGAGGATTTTCTGTTGGAGGGGCTTTGACTCTCAGTTGAGGCCATCGCAAAAAGAGCAACACGGTGACAGCCGCTGACCTTGGCACTCCTCCTGGGATGAGTACCTTGATGATCTCTGGGCAACCACCCCTTCACTGCTTTCCGTCCATGAGGTTTTGGGATGGGAATGACTGCACCCCATGGCAGGGATGGGCACAATGCCCACACGGGTTCTATGAGATATGACCCTGAGACTCTAGCTAGAACTTCCAGGGCAGGGAAGCACTTGTTCTTATAGGGAGGCTATGCCAATAAATTGTCAGCTAGAGCTGCTGGCAGCCGTCTTGCTACCTCAAGTAAGCAAATCTTCCTGGAAATGGAACAACATAGGGGACAAAACCAAGAAACGAAGAGAGACAGATTCAGGATGCCATCATCTGGGCACCTGGATCCCACCATACCAAAACTGTGGGCTTTTCAGTTACATGAGCAAAAAATAATCCTCTTTTTGCCTAAGTCTCTTCAAACTAGGTTTCAGTCTGTGGCCACTAAAGGAATCCTGACTTATTGAAGTAATTCCTTGTTCCCACCAGAATTTTGTTGGCCTCTTCTCAGCATGGACATTTGCAGTCCACAGCCCAGGGGCAGTTCATGTCCAGGATAACAGTACACAGGTGCAAGTGATGGTGGCATCTACACGCATCCCTGAACAGGCACGGGTGGATGTGATGTGCCTGGGCATGCAGAGGCTTTAGAAGGGGAGACCAAGACACTGCAAAATTTGTTTCTTCATGTTGTCCTTCGACTCTGCTTGTGAGCAATTCTCTCCAAACCCTTCATTTTATTCCTCTTGTTCTCAACCAAAGAAAGGAGTTCTTAGGTCTGTTAAGTATATTTTACAGGGCTCTAAGGAGTCAGGAGGAGATGGGAGGAGAGGAGGATAGGGGGAAAGGCAGCTCTGCACATTCCACTTTTGTTTTTTCCTTTTTGTCCAATGACAAAGAATCAGTTGGCATCCTTCTATTTCCTATTTCATGCAGTGCTTCTTAAAATGAAACATTAGCTCTACTGTAATGGGATTTGTCTAATGATTTCCTGGTAAACATCTTCTTAGATCTCAGCAAAAATAATTCACTTGGTAGGAATCACTTCCTGCTTCCCCGCTAAGAACCAGACCTACCCAGATCTTTCTGGGGGCAGATGGGCCTCTGAATGAGAGAAGGGACCACAGGAATATTTTACTCTACCATCTACCGCAGAGACTCAAGTCTGACACAGACCCAGATCGGGAAGGAGAAAAGGAAAGTGGGGGTGAGGGAGAACATTCATGCTGACTGCCAGTATGAAGCCAAGTTGAAAGTCTGCAGCAATCTGAGCCCCTGGCAGAAACAAAGGCACTCACCTCTTTGCCTTGGCTCTGAGGAGCTTTTTTTCTGGGGCAGTGTCCACACTGCCCCGCCAGGAGCACCGCAGGCAGGCTGCTGCCGGCAGAAGGGAGTTCCCATTCACCATCAGAAGGGAATGTCCTTCAGGAAAAGGAAGCAATCCCCTTATCCCCCTGGAGTCGAGGCTGCTGGATCCACTTGTCCTCTCTCCTGCTCCCTTTCTGGTGTGAATGGAGCTCAGAGGAGCCCCAAGAGAAGGGCTGAGTGCAAACCAAACACCACACCCACCCTAATAGCAGATTCGCCTCTGGCCTTTGGGAGCCTGGGGAGGGAGGCTGTGGACCAGGTCGTAAGGCCACTCTCTTGGGCCCCTAGGAGTGCGGCTGACATTGGTGTGCCCACAGAAAGTCCAAGGACAAGCACTTGCTTATTGATTTCTCCCCCTCTCATGTGATCTTATTTTTGGACTGGACACAAGAGCTATTTGGGGGCTGGACAGCTGCCAGGTGAAAGGACAACGATCTCGTCCAAGTAGTCTCCATGCTTCTCTCTGAACTACTTCCTGTTACCTTTCCCCATGTGAGGCAGAAGGATGGGGGTCTTGCTCCCAGCCTTACTTTTATTACATCTGCGCAATTTGTCCAACTTACCAATTTTTTTTCAACTAGTTGAGGGCCACCCTTTGAGGTTTCACAGGATAAATGTAATGAAAAAGTCATTACTTTATGTCTGAGGCAGGTAAATGTTTCTGAGGCTGGTCGTCATATCATACAGTCATCATACACCTCATGTGAGAGAGACCCTCGGACGGCATGTGTAAGCATCAAGGAGCTAGGCTCTACCACCAAATAAGCAGATTCTGCCTTTCTCCCCTGGCTTTTCTGCTTCTAACTCCTAGGCTTGTAAAACTGACAACATTAAAATAGCCTGATTTTTCCTCTTTGGATACAAATGGAAAGTTTCGAAACAATCACACTTGACAAAATGCCAATTCAATATCATCATCCTCACCCTCATCAATGTTATTTTTTGAGCTTTTGCTAAACGCCATTTATATGCTGAGCACTTTTCCTGTGTTGTCTCATTTAATCCTCACCACACCCCTACCAGAAAGGCAATATTGCTCCTATTTGACAGCTAGGGGTGTAGAGGGTTAGAAATCTTGACTCTCATTTGATTTTTAGAATAGGGTTTTTAGGTAATGCATATGAGACAACGGTCTCCAGCCAGAGGGCAAAAGCCCACAGGTAGCGTTCCAACACCCCATCTAATCAACTCTAATCACTGCTTAGGTATGGGATTGTATACTTTAATGCTTTTAGAGCTAACAGGTGGTTGTCATACCGATCCTGTTAAGAGATTTTAAGAACTATTGAAGGAAATAATGTGAAAAAATGTTTGCTAAGGACGAGTTGTCTGTTGGTGGAAACTTTAGAGACAATTATACTTAGATTTAATCATAAGAATGTGACTTTGGTTGAGAGGTTATATTTTAGATAATGATTGCAGTTTGACCAACTTAGCTTTTCACAAATTGTACTTTGGAATGCCGCGTTGTTCACTTTACTGATGTTACTAGTTTCCATTATTTAAGCTATACTTAGCCATTGATAACTTTTGTCAAACTGCCCATGTCTTCATGTCCTTTTAAAATGATTGAATCAACTGATTTTTCTTGTGAAACTTCCCTGTCTTTACAGTAAAAAACAGAAGCTAACTTTGAACCGGGACTATACCCAGTTTTCTCCTTCTAACAGAGGACTTGCTGAGGTGCAGTCCCTTCGGGCCTCTCATTGCATTCATGTTGCTTTGAGTAATCCTTTTTTTCATCTCTGTTACACAGTGAGAAGTGTAACACAGGGGAGCTGAGATTTGGAAGGGTCCCGAACCTACCCGTTGGAAATGTTAGAGTGAGGCTGGAGCTCCCGCCGTCTGACTCCAGAGCTCTTCATCACTTTGCTCTACTGTCTCCTGAAGCTATAAATTGCTGAGATTTCACTGTTGTTTTCATTGCATAAGAGGGAAAACAAAATCTATGATTTATTCAGACCCATGAGTTCAATCCCCAATTCCTTTCCCAGATTCAATTCTTAAAGGGGAGAGAGAATGAGGTTATTGCTTGTTTACAGTCCCAGGCCCTGATTCTAGGTACTATGGAGAGTCTCTGGCCTCCATTCTCACTGGAGCCGTTTTTCTATGAATAATCCACCGTGCAAACACACATGCCAGAGAGGACCTGGCTGGACGGCCCAGGCTGGCTTCCCTATGCATCCCGCTGAACTACCCTGGGGGAGAGTCAGCTTGTCCAACACTGCCCTCTGCAGGCCATAAAGTGCATTACGCCAGGACGGTTTCTTCAAGGCTTTCTGAGCCGCACACTAAGGATTATTTTTAGAGAATCATTTTTCAGGTTCTCTGTTTCTGTAGGTGCTCTTTCCTAAAGCTGGTTTGCTTGAGAACGTGTCTGTGTTCACAACACACACTCGTCACTTTTCACAGATTTTACTAAAGTGACATTGCCCCAAGTGTAAAAATCTCCAAGTTCCCAAACTGGAAGCTGCCTTTAATGATTTAATTCAGCTTCCTTTAATGATTAATTAGGCATTTTTTCATTTAACAACTTTATCACTCCCATACCTTGAATATTGAGGGACAGAACTGTGGAAGAAAATCAAAGAGAATATTAGAAATAATAATAACAGGTTAACACTTAAAGAATGATGTCACAATTTAATTTTTACAGTTCAATATTTACTATATGCTGCAAGTTATAACCTTTAAACCATATGAACTTAATGATAAAAATTAACATATCGGTTTTGAAATGTGGTTACAGGTAACATTGTTTTTCAAAACAGTTTTAGAAGGCACAAGAGCAAAAACAGGTGAAGTCTGCTGCACTCTAGGGCTGGTTATGGTTATTGCTGTCGGGTGACAGGTTGTCCTCTGTTCATTCATTCATCCTTCCATTCATCAAGCACCCACTGAGCACCTACTATGTGCCAAGCCTTGTTTTGGGCACTAGATACAAAAATAGTGAGCAAAAACTGACATGTTACATGCCAAATCCTTAGTCATGGCTACCTCTAGGGAGTTGAGTGAGAAAACAGATTAACTTAATAATTACTCAAATAATATAAGAATTCAGCTTTGATAAGCATTACCAAGGAGGGGTATTTGGTGGTAAGAGAACGCATAATAGGGATTGTCAGTATGTAATGGGGAGTGACCAGGGAAAGAGAAATCTCTTTGAGATAACATGAAAAATAACCAGGAAGATCTTATTAACTAGAAATTTTTTTCAGAAGGTAGGGTATGATTGATACAATTTGTGTTTTTTAAAATTGGTTTATGTGTATGTTTGTGTGTGCATGCAATTGCTAACCAAATTCTTTTTTTTTTTTTTTTTTTTTTTTGGCATGAAACTTAGTCTCACCAAATTCTTAATAATGGTCACCTCTAGGGAGTGAAAACAAAACAAAACAATAAACTGCAACATGTTCATTGGTAATAGCTCTCTGCCTAATTTCCTCCCTTCGTATTGATTAGATTCGTCCCAGTTCGTCCTCTCCATTACTACCAATATTCAACCAGCCACCAGCTTCTGGAGTCCTTCAACTTCTAGGACAATATCCATTGCTTATTGTTAAATCCAAAGCCCTTCAAAACTTGCCTCTAGAAAATCTTTATAAGCTCTTCTTGGGAGCTGCTCTCTCCGCTCCAGCCCCGATTCCCATGCCCACCTCCCAGAACTTAGCTCACCTCTGTGCCTAGGAAACAGTCCTCTTGTTCTACTTGTATTAGTTGGGATAGACTAGGTTATACTGAGGTTATAAATAATCCCCAAATCCCCGTGACTTAAAATAACGAAGGTTTCCTTCTCACTCACCCATGTCAACATGTCTATTTGCGGGTTGGGACATATCTGGGAGGCTCTTCTCCTCATCCTCACTCAGGGACCCGGACTGAAGGAGCTCCAGACCTCTGCTTTCAGGAGGAAACAAGGAGACGTATTTACTGATATACTGGAAGTTATTTCTACTCTCATTTCATTGGCAAAAACAAGTCACATGGCTACACCTAACATAAAATGAGGTAGAGAATTTCAATTCCATTATTTTCTTTCTTTTCTTTTTTTTTTTTTTCCTTTTTGTCTTTTTTCGTGTCCGGCAATGGATCGCAACCCTCAGTGTCGCGCCCATACCGGACCGGGACCGGCAACGGGATTGCAGCCCTCGGTGTTGCTCCCGCACCTCGCTCAGCCAGTGAGCGGGAACCGGTCTGTATGTGGGATCCGAACCCTCGGTGGGAGCGCCGCTGCGCTCCCAAGCGGCGCACTGTAGCAGTGCGCCACTGGGCCAGCCCAATTCCATTATTTTCTTAGAAGGTGAGGAATCGAAAATATTTGGGGAACATGAATTCTATAACTGTTGGGTACAATTGTCTATATAAGTTCACAAAGTCACGTTTGCTAATTGTGTTCAAATAATCTGTATTCATACTCCTTTATCTCTCAATTCTTGTGGTTTTGTCAATCTTAGCTTTATGTTTTCAAAGCTACATTGTAAGATATGTATTAGTTTTGTAATCATATCTTCCTTGTGAACTAAACTTTTTTAAAAAATTAAACTTTTTATCATTATGTTGTATCTCTCTTTAGCTGGAGCATTGCTTTTTACCTTAAAGTCTACTTTGGTATTAATATAGGTACTGTTAATATTAATATAATTTTAATATTTATATTTTTCCACTCTTTAATTTCAACATTTAATACTAATGTTTTAGATGTGTTTCTTTTTTTTTTGTCTTTTGTCTTTTTCCATGTCCGGCAACAGATCGCAACCCTCAGTGTTGCCCCCGTACCGGACCGGGGACCGGCAACGGGATCGCAACCCTCGGTGTTGCCCCCGCGCCTCGCTCAGCCAGTGAGCGGGAACCGGTCTGTATGTGGGATCCGAACCCTCGAGCGGGAGCGCTGCCACGCTTCCCAAGCGGCGCACTTATCCAGTGCGCCACCGGGCCGGCCCTTAGATGTGTTTCTTATAAACACTATATAGGTTTTTTTATCCAGTCCCAGAATCTTTGACTTTTTAAAAAATTAATTAATTACTTTGTTTATTGTTCAGGATAACTAGTATATTCAACATTTTACAGTGTAACCATTTTTTAATTGAAGTATTTAGTTTGTCTACATTTAATGTAATTACTGATGTATTTGGATTTAAATCTACCATCTTTAGTGTTTTTATTTGTCCCACGTTCTGTGTTCTTTTTGTTTTCCCTTTTTGTGTGCTTTTGGCATGGCTGAATATTCTATTTTTCTATTATGTTGGACGTTATATATATTTTTGGTATTCTTTTACAGGTTGTCCTAGAGATCACAATATAT